TTATTTCTGTATCTTTTACAACCACACTCCGTTCCCTTTATCGCTTTGCATTGTCATTTTCTCTCCATCAACCAGATTCCCTTGCACTTCTTTTTTTCCCTCATCTCTGGATTTTCCAGCCCCACCTTTCACTTTCCTCATTAGTCCTGCAGACATTGAATCAGTCTATATTGCCACTGACTCCTGGACAGTTTATCATACAGTAGTTGCAATGTTTCTTATTCCTTTCTGTCTTTGGCTTTCAATACTCTGACACATAAAGCCCTTTACCGGTCAGACCCACAGACTAACGCTTTTTTCACAACTCCTTTGGATACGTTTGGACTGCCTGACTTGTGATCCTCTGCCTACCTGCCTGCCTATAGTAAGAATATACAGTATGTACCTCCACTTAAATCACTGATCTATCCACGTCTGACTCAGCTCCAAAATCATTTATCTGGACATGTGTCTCCCATAGGGGATGATCCCGTATGTTAAGATGAACCTCAGCCCATCTTGTCAACGTCATCAGACATCCCTGGAGTATAATAGACCTGAACTGTCAGCATCTACACTCACCTGAATACATCTCAAGGTGGGAGCTTTTCTCCCCCTGCTGCTTTGACCGACAAACAGGTTCTATTTTGGTGAAAAAAGCTAACCACAGAGACAAAGGGAGCTTTGTTCAAAGTATATTTCTGTTATGTTTTGTAGTTCAAAGCACAGATATATTACACAGCATGCATATAGTTCGACTAAAGGACTGCAGTGTTGTGTAAGAGCATCTTTGAATTTAAAGTGTTTCAAGGCATAAACAGAAGAAATGCAGCAGCAGCTTGTAAATAGATCAGCTGATCCACGTTGTGCAACAGAAACAATGCAGATCAGTAATGTTTGGTGATTTATGTGCAGCGGTCATAGTGGCAGACACACAGTTTTAGTAATCCCCCATAATCCTTTGCTGGCTATATCTACAGATGAGAGTGCTGTTATTAAAGCCCCTTATGTCCCTATACACGAGACCACCCAGTGTGACTTATCACTCACGATAAAAAAAAAACTGTTCATGTCATCACTCCATCAGATTGTTATCTTGTTACACTGTAAGAATAGATTTCAAATTCTAATAAGGACTTTGTGGCTTTGCAAATGACTTGACTTCAACACTTATTTTACTTGAAAGCTTAACCAATTGATTTTTAGTATATAATCAATGATCGAAATAACAATGTTTTATGGTAAAAGTGTCGCTCACATTGAAAATATGCAGAATTTGCAGTTCCGCTCAGCTCTGAAAAGCCTTTTTATCCTCTTTCAGCGGGTTGTTTTGGTTTCTTTATATAACTTTACTGTTTTGCTTTAGTATCGCCTTTCTTATCAGCATTGTTTCCTTCAGGCTATGTCACGGTTTGCAAACACATTTCCCACATAACTTTTTGTGAGTTATTTTTCTGATCATCAACCTGTTCATATTATTTTACGTAGTGTATTTATTGGACTGGCACATAACAAATATTTCATATTTAAATTTGCACATAATATATATTTTCAGTTTTAACTAGGGAGGGAAATATTAAACTCCTTACTTTTATATATTTCTGATAACTGTAGTTACTTTTCAAATTAAGATTTAAAATCTAAATATAACATTTCCAATGAATAGTTTGGACGTTTCATTATCACCTTTTTGAATTAATTAATAAAAATGTGTGTATGCAAACTTAGTTTCTTCTTATTTCCTTTCCCATGAATCATCTCAAAAGTCCTCAGATTAATTTGGGGACCCTTGGGAGGGGCCTGAACTTGCTGAAGTGACAGATCTGAGTGCTTCTTCACACTTGATTTTCTGTTGCAAATTCTTGTCTTTTCTTTCTCATGTTATTGTAGTGTGCTTTTAATACATGTACAGCACTTAGGCTCGACCAAAAATCGTTTTTAAATGTGCTCTATAAATAAAACTTGATTTGATTTGTCGAACTGTCTCCCCTTCAGGCTGAAATGAGTGTAAACTGAGCATCGGTCTGGTGCAGCAGTGATGCAACATGTCCTTGCCCTCTCCTTTAACCTCAGGGGATTGTTTCTATCTCCCTGCGGCTCCGCTCATGATATTAAGCTGCAATGAGACTTTTTCATTTGTCAGCATTCCCAATGTTTGCCTGTGGACACTGGATGTCTGTCTGTAAAGCTTTGGATCTGATAAGACGCGACAGGATGAGGTTAATCTACCTCAGTGGTTAATGTGTTTGCTCACAAAGACTTTATAGGTGCCTGTTTACCTATAAACCCTTGATTGATACATCCACATTTAAATCTTTTCCTTTTACTAGAAAAAATGAACAATCTAAGACATTATTTTATTGAGCGCTGGAACAATACATTATGTAATCATTTATCCTCAAATCAAAACATTTTAATTAGCATTTTAGATTAAATTACAAATATTCTAAAAATGATTTTATAATTTTTTGAAATATATATCTGCTGAAAGATATACTCTGTGACATTTGCTCTCTATGAAATGAAAGTTGTGGTCTGCAGTTGTGGAGGAAATATTCTGACCCTTTACTTTGGTAAAAGTAGGATACTGAAATGTTTCTGTTAAAATTCCTTCAGTGAAAATGACACATATTGTGAGTATATTCAGAGTACTCAATGCAGAACTAAATGTCCCCTTTGACTTTTATTCTATGATATATAATATCATTATATTATTCAAATGTTAGTGCTATTATCAAAGCCCCATCTCATATTTTTTGACTTAGTTTAGCATCATTTTGTTGCTGCATTTTACTATTGTTCGTGGTTAATGGGGCTGATTTCACTATTTCATTTAATGTCAGTTAAGATTGTTAAAAAAATATAAAAATATTTACAATTTCTTAACGTTTGTAGTGCAGACCTAAAAATTATGGAATATTAATTTAGATCACTTTTAAGAAAAGCAGTAAAGCTTTACATTTGATAAGCCATACTCATATAACATTTGTAGTTTCTCCTGCAGAGAAACACAACATCTGTATGTTTTGTGTTAAAAAATCTGAATCCGTAACGTGCCTAAAGCTTCCAGACGCAGTAAAGTATGAAGTGGCGTTGACACCAATTTGAACCTGAGTGCAATACTCGAGTAAATGTACTCAGTTACATCCCAGCACTGTAAGCAGGTCAGCGTAGAGTCGGGTTAGACTTCATCACAGTAAACTGATACTAAGCTGCCTAACAGATTAGACTGGCATCGTCTGTGCGTGACATTGTGTCTTTTGATGGTGTGATACATGTGTTATCTGTTACACCAGGTCCACCCCAGTTGCATTTACCCGACCTCAGCCAGACCCTGACCTCTGCAACTGGAGGGTTGAGGGCTGGAGGGGGGGGGGGGGGGGTTAATACTCCTCCATCCCTCCAATCAACCACCACATCATGCATAGTGAACAGAAGTGCAATGCAAACAGCTCTGTGGAAGCTTAGTAAAAAAAAAAACACGAATGTATGCACATTTAACATCTGTCTCCATGCATTTACACACACACACACACACACACACACACACACACACACACACACACACACACACTCACACACACACACACACACACACACACACACACACACACACACACACACACACACACACACACACACACACACCACACACACACACACACACACACACACACACACACACACACACCGTCTTAAGCAACATCTGTTTATGCATTCAGGCTGGATGCTTCAAAGGCAGTTTCAAAACAAACACCCGTCTTCTGAAGCATATCATACATTTACAAAAATAGAAACTTCTGCTTTTGTTCTCTCTGTGTGTGTGTGTGTGTGTGTGTGTGTGTGTGTGTGTGTGTGTGTGTGTGTGTGTGTGTGTGTGTGTGTGTGTGTGTGTGTGTGTGTGTGTGTGTGTGTGTGTGTGTGTGAAGACTGAGAAAGATGCAAAGACCTCTGGTACGCAGGGATATTGTGTGTATTGCAGTTTAAATTACTGTATTTCCAAAAATGTCCTCAATTTAAACTAGACATTTGTGTGAAATTGTCATAGTTGGAATTTTTGTGAAGTCGGTGACCCAACAGTTAATGTGGATTAAAGGATATTCACATGTTTTGTCCTAAAACACAACTCACGTCTATATGATATAAGAGATGGTAGAGTTGCTGTAATCATTTATTTTGTTCATCATGGTCCTCGAGTAGCCTAATATGTTTATTAAATGATTTCAATGTATGTTTTTATCTATCTTGTACATTGTGTTAAGCCATAATATATTTTACAAATGAAAAGAAAGGCAAAGTTACTTAAGGTAAGCCTATGAACACAAAGTTAGAAGGAAAAGAAAATTAGGGGGTATCAGATGGCTGAAAGTCAAACTGTGCATGAAAGCAATTTCAATTTTAGTCAAAGTTAATATGAAGGTTAAGTTGGAGATAGAAAAAACAAGTGAATGTCATCATACGTTGTTTTGAGATACTTCTGAGACAAAAAACGAAAAAGTAATGCACTTAAATCACTGTAACCTTTATTTGATTTGTCCAGCTCAGACTGCTAAAACCTCAAATAAGCTTTAGTGAATTTTGTCCCCATCACTTAAACTTCTTCAAAAAGACATTTGGACTGAGACTGCTTTAGAAAAACATTTGGACTGAAACTGCTTTAAAAAGAGATTTGGACTGAAACTGCTTTAAAAAGAGATTTGGACTGAAACTGCTTTAGAAAAACATTTGGACTGAAACTGCTTTAAAAAGAGATTAGTTTCTGTCCAGTTTGGACGAGAGTGATGAATGCAACAGACAAAAAACAATTGAACAAACAAAAAGCTAAAGAAAATATGTGTATCGCTCCTTTAATCCAACATGGATGTCAGCCAAAACGCCTCACTGTACTACAGTGTATACTTTTGGCCCCTTCACGCGCCCCTGCGCACCTGCACCTCGAGGCGTTGCTGGGCTTGTGCGCTCCTGTGAGGCGCAGCGCGCGGCGGCAGGCTGCAGCGACCTGTCTCTTTAAATTGGTGTCAAAGCCGATTACCGCTGATCTCCATCGTGATTCTGTTTTCACCGTCTGTTCCCTCAATCTATTTCTGTTTTGCGTCGCTGCCGGGACGATAAGCTTTCTCGTTTTGATACATTTTCGCAGCACCCGGTAACTCCTGCAAACTTTGTAGCATGCTGAAGTGTTTCCTGCAGGCTCTGCTTTTTCTGGGAAAGCCGACATTCGAGCTGTAATCTGGCAGTGAGCTACTGAGTGTGATGTGAGCTGCACCGCGGACTAACTTTTCTGTACCATGGTAAACCTGGATTACCTTTCCCTGCTAACGGAGTTTTGAAGCGCGTTCTACCCACGGCAGTGAGCGCCTAGTGGGGATGTGATGTGATGCCTCGGGTTACTGTTTGAAAGTTGGCACCTAAAATAAAAACCAAAATCCGGGTGGACATAAAATGCAGAAGGGCGTGCGGTACAACGAGGGCCACGCTCTGTTTCTGTCTGTGGTTGCCCGTAAAGAGGGCTCAAAGCGCGGCTTCTTGAGCAAGAAGACCACGGAGAACAGCCGCTGGACCGAGAAGTACTTCGCCCTCTACCAGAACGTGCTCTTCTACTTCGAGAACGACCAGAGCTCGAGACCCTCGGGCATATACCTGCTGGAGGGATGCACGTGCGAGCGGGGACCTGCACCCAAAGTCTCCGCCATCAGCAAGGAGCCGGTGGAGAAACAGCAGGTGAGCCCCACTAAAGAGAGCGGGAAACAGGGGGCAGTCGAGATGGAGCACGCAGTTAAAAGTTAAATAAGGGTGCTGTTGTATTTCTTTGTGATTTAGGTAATTAAGTTATTTCTTTTTATTTTTAGATAAATGTTTCCTCTTGAGCCTCATTTTGCTTCCTTTCGGCCAACTTTGTATGCATTGATCTGTGTTTGTTTCCACTTCAGTATTTCCTCTACATTCAGAATGCACATTTTCAGCACTTCTGTGATTCTGACAAATTCATTTAAGTGCAAAGCAGCCAGGAACCCAACATACAAGAAAAGGACTATAACATGTATATATCTTCTGTGACAATTATTCAAAAATATTATTAGAGAACAGTTAAAGGTTAGTTTCACTATAATACATAGGTACAAATAGAATAATAATGTAAGAAATTAAAGTATCATACAGTTTGTTTATACGCCTTTGTCTTTAAAAGCCTAGAGTTTTACATTTGTAATCACTACAAATATGAATTATTTACAATACCAAAAAGTGTTACGGTCTACAGACTTCAATAAGATATGTTCTCAGCTAGTGTCTACCTGATTAAAAACTCTGTGTTTTAGTTTCATGTTATGTTTGGCTTAAAGTCTAAAACCCTAAACTATTAAGTTAAAGAAAATATTCACATCTGAGTGGATTTTTCCTACAAATTACTTCTATCTAAACCGGTGCTGTTTCAGTTTCGGTCCACTGATTATTTGAAAAAACATTTGAGCTCCAAGGTTCACTTGATCCTCCTCTATTGAGTTTATACAGACTTCTCTTATGTACAACTTCATGTAGTCATTTACATAATACGTTCCTGAACACATCACACCAGTCTCTTGTATTGCTGTGAGATCCTGTACTCTGTATCGTGTGCAAAGTAACACGTCCTATATAAAGATTGTCTGTACACATACAGGGCCTGATACTATTGATACACTTGAGTTGTCAACACAGTTAGCCCCTATGAAAATATCTGTTCTCTGAGAGCTAATTTTAAATGACCCATATTGTGCTGCTGATGTGGTTCATCTCCTCAGCAGCAGGTGTGATATAGACGAGGGTTTATTTTGAAAACTATAATAGCACTTAGATTATATGGGTTGAATCTAATTTTCTCATCAAAATGCAGGTTATCTGTCATGCCTCTTTGGAGAAATGCTGCTTATGACACCCCGACTCAGTCATGACTTCACATTATTTAGAGGCAGAATAAAACCATACTATATATACTTTTTGGACATTGTCCGCCTACACTTTGTTCCCATTTTTGGGGTGATACATTTGTCATTGAAACTGCCCTAATAAGTCTGTTCTCAAGTCTATGTATGTCATTTTATTGACATTTTAAACTGTGAGAGATCGTGATGAGAACACAAATACGTTCCTACCTTATTAATGACAAATAAGACTCAGCCAATCACTACAAAACATATTGCAGTTATGTAATGAATATTGTTTTAAAAATGTCCTTTTTTATTGTTATTGAAGAGTCTGACAAGGGAGTTTCTTTAATTGTATTCATACCTCATAGTTTTATTTCATTTCAGGCTTCCCCCTGTGAGACCTGTTTATATAAAAGAGATTACATCTTTTTGTGTGCACTACGGGTTATAAAGGTTTTTGTCTATAAAGAAAGATATTCCTGTCTCTGTATCGGAGCTTTGTTTTCCTCATCACAATCCAACATGAGGTAATGAGTCCAATATGTCAGTACATGGATTACTGTTGGGGATTTATCACTGTCTTTAGCAAAGAGTGCATCCCTTTTTTAAATTCCCTTTTATACATATTTCAAATGTGTTGGGGGCTTTATATGATATGTGGAGACTAAGGTACAAAGGCTCAACTAGGTGATTTGGATGTGTGCTAAAATGTAGTCTGCATCACATCAGAAAGCAAAGCTGCTGTTACAGAGAAGTTAGCACCTCTGACAATATTTCTCTGTAACATTGACATACTGCTAATTTCCCTCATGCCCAAAATCAATGTCTCTGCTGAAATTAAATGTTTACTTTAAATTGGTAAACACTGTCCAACAGGGATGCTTCTCATCATTGCAATATAGAGTGAAAATCTCATAACTATTGGATAGATTGGCACATCATTTTGTAAAGACACTCATATTCCCCAGAAAACGAATTGAGATGACTTTGGTGGTCCTTACCAACTATTGGATAAATCGACATGAAACTTGGCAAAGACAATCAGACACAAAAGGCTTCATACAACAGACATTTTTCCCACATTTGCATTATACCCTGGAAAACACTTTACTTGCAGAGCTCCAACATGTTGTTTAGTCAAAGGGAGTGTTCAAAGGAACTAATAACAGTTGGGAGAGTCCTGCTTCTTTAGAAAGAAACATAAGAAGTTAAATTCTCCCCCCCACCCAAATATGTTCGTACAAAACGAAAAGGCACACTTTGGGGAAACCTTTTTCAACACCTAAAAATCCCCATAGAAATTCAGTCTGGGTTGATCGTCTGTGCATCTTTTCATCCCCACTTGAGAGCAATCACTGTATTCTCAGCAGAGCCAGTATGTGTCCATTGTAGTTTCCCTGCAGCAACACCTGGTCCTTCTCCTGCAGAGAAACACTCATAACTGCATCTCTGGAGATAAAGGAGTTTTCAGTAATTGTCCTTGGCCGGGAAAGAACAAGGAGGGCAGTTTTTACTCCAAATACCCAGTTTGCCTCTGGTTGTTTTTTTTGCACATTGTCATTGTTCATTTGTTTCATTACAGGCCTTTTTAAAAGAACATGTTCCCAGAGTAGAGTGTTTTGCGTTGTTGGACGTTTGCAGCTCACATGTAAAACCTGTTACCAGATAGGTATCGTTAGCAGGAGGCAGACGAAGAAGAGTGAAATCTGTCAGTATCATTTTAAACACTTGTACAGAGCAGATTGTGTGTGATGTCATGTTTCATAATGCAACATAGAGATCATGAACCATTACGAGTAGAAGTTCTTCCTGTTTCTTCAGGTAGATTTCAGGGTTCCTTTTTTGTTAGGCCATGTACAAAATCTCCTCATATAAAGTCATTTGTATTGGTATCTTAAAGAAACAATTCCTCTGTTAATGCAATAAGACTGCCTAAACGATTTTCAAAATAATTAAACTCACTTAGAGAATGTACTACTGAAAATAAAGAACACAGTCACTAGAAACACATGATATGAATGTAGACTTCAGACAACAATTTGATTTGCATTTGGAGTTGCAAATCCTTGTTTTAAGATAATTCAAAGACGGACTTACAGTTTAGGAAAGAAGTTTTCATGAGCTATAACCAAAAAGAGAAGGATTGATACAAGTTTGTACACATGAAAAGTGATAGTAGTTCATGCACAATACTACCACTTATGAAACAGCACAGCCCTTCCACACTAAATCTAATGCAAACATTTTTCACAGTACTTTGACATTGTTATTGTATTTCCATTTTTGTATATTTCCATTTCCTGTTAACATGTTTTAATGATTTTTTAAATACATTTTATTATATGTATATAACATCTGCTCTTAGTTTTCATCCTAATTAATCAAATTCCTTGTATGTGTAAACCGGAGTTGGTTCTGATTCTTTCTTAATGCATTGTTTATTCCTTAACAATCAGAAATCTGAAAATTCACATCACAATTATTCCTAAACTCCAGATGACTTCATCAAATGTCTTGTTTTGTCCAAGCAAAAGGAAAATAAAATATCTATAAGGCATAATGCAGCAAAAGCCACTGAGGAACAATCAAATGTTTGGCATTTTTACGATACATCCATTATCAAAGTAGTTGCAGATTCATTTTTGGATCAACTAACTGTAGGAGCTACAGCTGTAAGAACATGAATACTTTAATTAACTTTTAATTGACATTTTACCATAGTTTTTATGCATAGAGATGCAGTTCTGTGTCAGAAGAAACTCATCTAACATCCAGACTAACAGCAGCCTCTCTAGATTCACGACACAGACACACTCATTGTTTGATCTCCGGCTGATGGAGGCCAGTGTGAGCTCAATCTAAAGCCGGTTTCTAATGCAGCGACATTAAAGTCGGATAAAACATCAGAGAGCATCAAAGTACTCTTGTGAAATTTGTAACTCGGCTCATTTGATGTCCAGTCTCTGCACAGATATGAAATATTCAGTGTCCTGTTTCTGTGGCTGGTCATAATAATGCTGTTCATTAACATGCCTGTGATCAGGTCTGTGATGTCTTCAGTGTTCCTCTCGTCCTAGATTTGAACTACTGAGAGTGAGTGACTTTAATGAGGAATTATTTATTTTAGCAAATAAAAGCCATACAAATACAAATATAATAGGAAACGCTCCACCTAACAGTGAGTTAAAAACTTCACAATGGTTACATTTAGAACACTTCAATATTTTTATTTATGCTCATCTTTGTGAAGTTAAATCTTCCGATTCGGCTTTGCAAATTCAAAAACGTAAATCGAAGTATATTATGAGGTTTACAAATTCAAAGAATTAGATTAAACTATGCAAAATAAGTTGTCTATTTGAATAGTTGCTGATTGATATTCAAAGTAAAATATTTCATGATATATTCATATTATTGTATATTGCTTAACTAAAATACAATTATCATTACCACTCAGTGGAAAATTATATGTGGTAATGTGTTGTATCTAAAATCAAAGCGACTAAAATTTCAATAAATATAGTTCAGTTAAAAGTACAATAGTATCCTCCAATATAGTAGTGGAGCTGAAGTATAAATTGGATGTATAATTAAAGGACACGTACCTCAGTATATGTACTTACTCACATTCCACCACAGCAAGGAGGATGTCATTTTAAATTATTATGGCTATTATTAGCTTTCATCGTTTTGTTAAGATAAACGTACTTCTTTTATTGTTCATTATATGAAGCGTAAAGGCACATTTTTGTTATGAGTTCTTCTGGGTAGATGATTGTACAAGACTTCAGTTGTGTTATACGCAAGGTACCATCT